TAAAACTGATGCACACGCAACACTCAGGTTCTGGAGCAGGACTGCAGTTCACCAGTGGACGAGCAACCAGAACTTTCCGCCAGAGTGTACAGCTGGTTAAGGCGAAGAAGAAGAACTACTTTAGATAAATTGAAATTTAAAAAAATAGTGACAGTGACTGCTCAAATTTTCTTGTATTACAAGTCAGTTATTTGTAGTTAAGTGGTTTCAATCTCAATAAATAATGTTTAAAAAAAATTCACGGAAAAAATCTCCTCTTCACTTCTCAGGCTTATAATTGGGATGTTAAGTGTTCTGTGAATTAGACATCAGTAAAGCAAGGCATTAAAAGTTAAGCCTATTCAGATGTTCTGGTGAATAAATAAATTTAGATATAATGGTATACATGACTTTTCTTCTAGAAAAAAGGTGGCTAAAAAGACCTTTATCCACACCTTCTGGCTTACACTTACTGGGCACATAGTGCTTGGCATATATTTATAGACCCATCGGCACTCGACAGCCGCCTTTATTTTCCAGTAATTTTTTTGTGAAAAAAAAAAAGAAAGGCTTCGTCAGGACCTGAAGCCATGACCTCTGAATCCACAGACAAGCATCGGCTATCTTCCGAATAACGGTCCCATATTATCGAGGCCGAAAATATACCCTAACAGGGCCTCAGTCACATGCCAATTGCGGACTTCCGGGGACTATACCGCCACCGAGAGTATCCCCCACGCCGCTCTCGCGAAGTAGATTGGGGCTAAACTAGATGGCTGGGACTCACTCAGGAGCAAATAAAATGAAGGAAGCTGCAGGAGATGTGGTAGCTGCTGCTAGGGAGTCCCAGCCATCTGGTTTAGCTCTAATCCACGTTACGTGAGCGGCGTGGAGGATACTCTCGGCGGTGGTGGAAGTCGCTGGAAGTGTGCAATTTAAGTGGCAGGAAGTCCACAATTGACAAGTGACTGAAGCCCTGTTAGGGTATATTTTCAGCCTCGATAATTTGGGACTGTTATTCGAAGGATAGCCCAAGCGTCTAACCACTACATCACAGCGGCTCCCCAAAAGGTGCCGGTACTCACCACAAGTGTCTGTTAAAGGGTAATAAAAAGGTGCCGTACTGCGCACCTTTGCGTACCATCGGAAAGGGGGAAGGGGGATGAAATATATCTGGAGTATGTTTGAGAACAATTCAGAAACTCAAAAAGCACTTATCTTTTATCCCACACTGATAAAATGAGATGGGGTCCAGGTTGCCATCAAGTAGGTCCACTGATCCCTATGTCAGTCTGGCTACTAGAATGGTTAACCCTTTATGTCCCAAACAGCATGCAGTGTGTGATCAGCTTTAATCACTGTTTATCAAACAACAACCTGTGTGTAATTAAATATTTTACATTTGGTCAAAGCTTGATGAAAAAATGTGACAAGATTTGCTAACATACAGAAAAGTATATGTTGTCTCTTTGAAAGCAATGCAGGCATATCTTTTTCATCATGCCTTAAAACTCCTTAACAATTTGAAACAAAATCTTCTGGTACTAAAAGGGGGGAGGGGCAGCTGTTCAATATATGAGCAGATGGGTCATCTGGGTTGATATTCAAAGTCACAGTATTCAGGACAAACCCAAATTAGCTCCGTCTCCCTCCTCAACAGCTAGCAAATAGTCTACATACTGTTGTTGCCCCATTGTCATCTGGAACACTAACTACTCTTCTTGCCTTTTCCCCAGTTCTGGAGTGTCACCCAGAACCTATAGATACTCCCCACTGCATCATTCTCTCCATGTTCACGTTTCATTTTACTTGTTACCTCGTCCCACAGGCAAGAGGTCACATCTGCCTTGTGCAGTTGCAGTAAACACACCCCCTGCCCATCTCCCAAGAGATACCAGTTAAACCAACCTGTAATTTGCCTTCTCATTCCCAAACACGCCTATATCACCTCAGAAAAGAAAATTTACAAATGATTCACCATCAGTGATCTTTAGATTGATGTGACCCATTTCAATTGAAGAAAACCTTATTTCACCTTCCAGAGCAGTGTTGCCCGTCCCTGTCTGACATATTATCAAATTAAACATTACCTAAACCTAAACGTAACTGTGATTCTACAAGGGTGGTGTCAAAGTCAACTAAGGAGAAAGAATTAGACTCTTCTGTAGGACATTATTTGCTTGATTCTGGATGTGTTATTGAAAAGAGATGCTTTACCATACACCAAACAGTGGAATGCCTAAAGTAGTTCATTATAAATTTGAAATTACCCCAGTAAACCACATGACTAGTCAACTTGCAGTGAATAGACAAACCATGTATCAAGAGAGACAAGGTGTATTTCAGTGGAATTAGTTCAGTTTTTGTGCTTCATGATATTTTGATATAACTCTCTAGTGATTCACCTGATGAGATGCAGTAAAAAATCCCTAATAGTAAATTTTTGCACTGTATTGTTTGTGTTTGCATTTTTTAAACTCATTATGGGAAAACATTGTTTTGATTACCTTAACTGTAAGTCTCCAGAATCATGTGTGTAGTTGGTGTGTTTTCTCTTCTTCTTCACGCTCACTGGCTGTAAACTCCGGCAGATAATTCTGGCTGTTTGTCCACCTCTGGACTTTGATCTTTTTCCAGAATCTGGGTGTTGTGTGCACATCTGTGTCACAGATCTAACTTATTTATCTGCAGACTGTAAGTTCCTTGCCTCTCAGACAGTGCACTCCAATTTCGAAGGAAGCTCCCAATTAGTCAACTCATACGACATGCTTTATGGGGAGACAGTGGGTCTGTTCTTGTTTTTTCCACAAAAATACCCTGAACCCACACGAGGATAGTTGTTTACAATTGCTGATTTTTAGACAATTTGCAGATGACTGCGCCGGGCATTGTCAAAACACTGTCATTTCTGTAATGATAGCTCAGGCCAGCTGTCAGTGAGTGACAGGTAAAAACCATTGCTGGGAAACTTTTCTGTACAGATATGCTACAGTCTAATTTTTGATGTTAGGTGAAATAACATGTGTAAGGTTGTGAGAATTTGGAACTAATTGTGGATCCGGCAAGAAAGGATGTATGAGAAGAAGAATATTACGTGCGTGGAACCAGTTGGCATCTAGACCTCGAGACATTTGCTGTGAGTGACAGAGCATCTCTGATATGTTGTGGGGTCAATTCTTAAACTAGTAACCAGCTACAGTCATAATTTCTGAACATAACCTGAGCATAACCAACCCCCCCCCCCCCCCCCCCCCCTTGTCATCTCTGACAAGAGACGGTAAAGAAAAACCTAATGTTTCACACCCTGACTGCAACAGCTACTATAAAACTGCTGATACCTTTTTACTTTGTTGTTTAGAAATTAACTCTGCCACAGGGTCTCTTAACTCTTTGAGTCCCAGGGAATTTTGCATCAGGGGCCCAAGGGGGGGGGGGGGGGTAATATGATTTTGACTTTTTAACAAGTGCAACACTTTAAAACAAACCACACAACTGCAGCTCATGTGCAACATACACATATCATACATAAAAATGAACATAAATGGATAAGGATTAATGTTAGCATACTGCTACAACAAACAGATATACCGTTAGTTAGTATTTAGTAAAGAAAACAGTGACTTAGTTTGAGATTTTAGTAAATTATGAATAAGTTCTTTTCCACTTACTCAAAAGCTGATCACGCAATTCTTGATATAGTATATCCAAAATGCATCACGAAGGAAGGTACACCACTTATAAGTATGCACATCCAATATTAAAGCAAATGTTCAATAGTTGATGTTCCATAGCGATTTTAATAACACTACCATAACATGACAAAATATGTTCTCTGGTGTTCTATCACACCAGCTGAACATGGAGGCTTGAAAAGAAACATTGAACGTGATCTTCCCTCAGTAACACCTCTCCACTGACCACGACTATCATTCTGGCGTGTACTACTAGTAGTACTTGTACTAGAAGCACTGACATTTAGACTAGCTGGTGTCACGCTACGGGGTGCTTCATCACCACTATTCTCGTGTGTTGCCATGGCAGAATTAGTCAGTGTTGTCCTCTTAGCAGAAGGTAAATTACGCATACGTTCCTCATCAGAACTTGACTCCGTCAACGGGTTGGGGAAATTCCATGTCACTACTATCATTATCCAACTCCACATCACTTTGATCGACCCACTGTTTTATTAAATTTGATGCTTCTAAAGCAGTAAATCGCTTTGCTGGGCGTGAAGAGGATGACTGATCGGACATATTGTTTTCAGACAATTGTTTGGTATCATAGTAGACCACACAAATATAGATTTATAGCGTTAAAAACTCACCTGATGCGTTTCCTGGGACTCAAATAGTTAAAGTAAACAAACACACACCCACACACACAAAAACAACAGCCGCAGATATTTTACACTAGTCTCATTATTAAATTAAAAAAAAAATATATATTTGCATACATTGAGCAATTTTTCCTGAAATATATAAAGATATACAAAAGGAGTAATCGGTAAACATGAACAGAAAGAATTAAATCCAGTATATTCCTAGGGCCTAAAAATATTTTTGGTTCGAGTCAAGTAACTCATGCGCTGAATCTGTGGCCTATATCATTGAGACTGTGAGGAAATTTTGACATCAACATGACTTTAGAAAAGCCATTTGGTCATGCATATATTACCCTCATAAGTGCAGTGCAGGTGCAAAAACAGCCTATGACATTAATTAGGTGTCTGGTAAACATGTCATTGTAGAAAAGTCAGTAAAGTGACATTTACCAGGAGCTAGACTAAAACCAGAAGTGTTTTTTTTTTCTCTCAGGATGACAAGGTTCATGATATTAATGTAATTTAAGTTGCTTTACAATGAAATGAACAAGCAAAATAAGATTTTCATTCTGCACCATTTGCTATGGTAACACACGCACAATGGCTTTATAATGCTTTTTAAAAATTGTTTCTCTACAGGTGTATAGATTATAACGCTGCATTTTTTAAAAAATATCTATTTGGTTGGAAGTACTGAAACATGACAGTCTCACTGAAAAGGCGGAACAAAGCCGCTCACTCCACCTCCTCTGACACTGTAACTCAGAACAAGACAGAAACGAATACTGTGAATAAATCCACAAGCAAGAGCAAACAGAACGACAGAGAAAAAAATAATTCAAATATCCATGAAAGACACAGAGGGACTACAAGTCCAATATGGTCTGTATTATGGGCACTGAACGTTGTGTTGGGAGTGGGTGCCATTGTGGCAGCAGGCGGCTTGCACGCTTGGTATATGTACCAGCTTCACGAGAACCAGTTATGGTTCTCACATATTCAGGTGAGAGTATTGTTTACAAATATCTGTCTTTTTGTTGAGTGTAATTGCTGCTTCACACTTGTAGATCCACACATGGGATCCGAGATCCCCCATTTTGGGTTCAAATAAGAATAGGCCCACTGGTTCCCCAACCTATACAGGGATAATTCAGGTGTGTGAAATGGTACCTGGAGTCTCTAGCAGAAAGAAAAGGCAGTGAGAGAGGTGGTAGATAGCCTTATCTTCCTCTTTTGCCTCTCATCTTTCACTGGAGCTTAAGCACTCATGCAGTCAATCAATCGATCAATCAGTCAGTCGATCAATCAGTTTGTTCCCTCCAGGCTGTTACCCAAAGGTTTACTATGCCATCCTAAGCAGATCACAAGGCCAATCCTCTTGGGGGGGGGGGGGGGGGGGGGGGGGGGGGGGGGGGGGCACGTAATAAAATGTGAATAAACATTCTTCTTGTTTTCTTTAGTTAAAGTGCATCTGCATGAGAGGTAGGGAACCAGTATTATGCATACAAATTAGATATATCTGCAGATCAGATGTGCACGCAAACTCAATTTCTGAAAAAAGTGCAAAGTTCAGAAGTGAACAAACAACAAAAACTTGCCACGGTAGTTTACTGCCGCTTACACGTGAAGAAGAAGATTAGTAGCAAAGCTAGGGTACGTTAGATTGCTTGGCGTGCTATGATGATGTGAAGTTTTAAGCTGTCGGTGATTCCTTCTTCTAGATCCGCCTCTGCCTGTTGTTGTTTCTGTTTTATTGGTTGTACACTCTTGCTGCAAATTGATTGATTCTCGTTGGGTGACAGAACCATTTCAGTCTTTGTTTCTTATTGAATTTTACATTACAGCTTGAAAGACTGAATATATGGTATAAAACCCAGCTCAGTGAAGTCAATTGCATCACTTTTTTAACCCGTTTAGACGTCACAGTAGAAGAACAAATGGTTTGTTTCATCTGTCTGTATTTTAATTTAAACAGGAGATTGAGAGAGAGATTTCATTTCGCACAGAATCTGGCTTGTACTACTCATTCTACAAATATCTGGTAAACTCTCCTGATTTTTTGAAAGGTTAGTATGCATTTTTCCTCATTTAGTTATTCTTATAATAAAACTCTAGATGATATATGTGTAAAAGCAAGGTAGTATTTTCAATTCTAGGTTTATTTCAATGTTAACGTATGTCGGTTTGAGAGGCACTAAAGCTTTGATTGCCAATGTGGTTACTAAAACTCTATCTATATCCTCTTCATGTCGCTGTTGACACATAAGGTATTCACAAGTGATCTCCATTGCTGCCGGTGTGCTGCTTTTCTGCCCATGGTATCCCATGTCAGTTTACATTCCTTTATTTCCCGTTGTGTTGTCCTTCTCCAGGTTTCCTTAGGTCTTTCACGTCTCCTTTTCCCATCTGCTGTCCACCAGAGAGCTGTTTTTTGCCAGTGTCACAAGGCATTCTGCAAACTTCCAAGCCATCTCCATCGTCTTACTTTGATAACATTTGCCAGTGATGCACATTCTGTTTTCCTCCTCAGTCCTTTATTTGTGATCTCATTTAGCCAAAATATTCGTAGAATTCTCCTTAAACATTAATTTTTAAGTCTCAAGTTTATGTGAAATTCCCGCTGTCATTTTCCAACATTCACTGAATTCCTAAAATGTTGCTCTTGTATATTCTGAGTTTTCTTTTCAAACTGAATGCCTTTGACTTCCATATATTGTTAAGCACGGCAAATGCTTGATTTGCTTTGTTTATTCTTGATGTTACATCCTTTTCAGAATCTCCATCTGGAGTAACTTTACTTCCAAGTTATATAAATTCTTCATCTTCCTCTGTTGCTTCATCGTTTAAGATAATTGGATTTTCTGTTTTGAAATTATTTCTCATGACTTGAGTTTTACTGGTGTTTATTTTGAGTCCTATCTTAAGGGCTGCTGTTGAATGTCTTTCAGCCTTTTCCTGAGTGTCCACATGACGGCTTCATATAAGGCTAATGTCATCTGCATAGTCCAGATCCTAAGTAGCCCTCAAAGATGCCCTTCATCACTGTGTTTTCCTGGCCCTCTTGATGTTTAATGTGGCCACAGTACCTCACCTTTTTGGCCAGGATGCTGTCTGTGAGCCAGTTCTCCTATATGTTCCAATCTTGTAGGACAAGGCTATTCAGCTGGCAACCTGCGGGCCAGATCTGGCCTGCGGAGGCCTAGCACCTGGCCTGCGGATCATTACCAAGGTGTATTGTAATAATGATCTTTCTATGCTGGGGTTAAGGCCTCTGGCTCAAGACGATCCCTATTTTCAAAATGTTGGCCCCTGAGTAAACTTGAATAACCCTGATCTAGGATATCAATGTTTTTTGTTCTTCTTGGTCCATGGGGTTCTGACTATTCACCTAAAAGCCATAAAAAGCTGTCAATGATACCCTCAGACCAACAAGGTTGGCCACCACTGTACTGAAGGCATGTAACACAATTTTAATGTGTTGGAAAACAGGTTCCTGAATTAGAAACCACAGAGATGGCTGAGCAGCCACTGGGAGCAGGAGATACAGTGATTTCTTCTTCTGTGTTCATCCAAAGATATAATTGCATTGTGCCGATACAGTGAAATAATGTTGGGTACTGACTTTGTAATGCCGGGGTGCCGGATTCAATCACGGCTGCAGGCAGTTTGGCAGCCTTACGTTGGTTTTGACTGATTTTGAGAGCTGCCCGTCCAGAAAGCAAAGGCAAATTACTGGATGTAAATTTGCCTAGAAAAAACACAACAGCCAAAAAATGCTGGGGTTGGTTCTGCCACGTGCTGTAAAGGCTGTATAGGATACGCAACTAACTGACTGACTGGGGAGATGTCATTGACACATCATATATTGCTTGTGGCTAACAGGGGTGAAAGATGTGAATGCTGGCTTCTTCTCTTGTTTACAATAGTTCTACCAATTCACATGCTTCTACATAATCACTAATACATGGTTTTTATATATGTATGGTTGTTACCTTCCTTTCATTTTTTTTTTAGACGATAGTTTCAAATTGTGCTACACATTTTTAATTTATCTCAGCTTTCAAACCTGATTTTCCTCCCCGTTTGGGTTCTAGGGCTCCTGTGGGGGAAAGAAGAATAGACCCACAGCCTCCTAAGAAGCATATCATTAGAGTCTACTTATTAGAGATGGTTCTTTCAAGTTCAGAAGGTGTCAGCTTGAGAGGCAAGAAACCAGTAGTCTGCATGCAAATTAGCCAAATCTGTAAAACAGATGTGCACAAAAAACTCAGGTTCTGGATCAAGGTGTAAGTAATGGATGAACAACCAGAACTTTCCTCTGAAGTTTATAGTGAGTGAATGCAAAGAAGAAGGAGAAAGCTGATTTTCCAGAAATAAAAATTTGACACCCAAGGTGGCTTTAGCCTAAGCCAGCGATGTGTGTGTGTGTGCGTGCGTACATGTGTGTGTGTGTGCTTGCGTGCATGGGTGTGTGTAGTTATGAGGTTTTATAATAACAATTTTTTTTAAAATAAGATATACAGAGGCTGACGGTGAATGAGTCGACACAGCACCCTGAAGCAATAAATATTCTAGCCAGGATGAATATCTATCAAGAGGTTATACTGGCCACACTCTACAGACAATTTGGGATATCAGTAAGTCAGAAGTTCACAGTGAATGAACCATCAGTTCCTATTTCCAATGGGTCACAAATTGGGAACACACACCTGTCTTACATTCAGCCCTTTCAGACACTCATATTTCACACAGCAGTTGTATTTTATTTATCAAGCATATTCATATATTAAAATTCATTGTGTGGATGTAAAGTTAAAAAAAAAAACACACACACAATTGAGAGAGAGAGATGGGGGAGAGAGAAGCAGGCAGACAGATTGGCTGTTGCTGTACTGCTGGGTTGTGCCTTGATGCCTGATTAGCAAGATCCGGTCAAAGACCCGTTGGGAGCAAGTGAGCATTGTGAAAGCTTGAATAGATTGTGACAGTCGGTAGGGAAAAAGATGAAGCCAGGGAGTGACTAGGGGATCTGGCCGACATTCAACACTCAGAGGAAAGCGAGTTGGACATAGAATCAAACTAGAGCCGGTACCATAGAAATTGAAATTGTTTGTTGGCTGATAAAGATAAAAACAGAGCAGATTTAGGGATAACCTGAATATTGTGGTGTCAATTCTTAACTTGAGTGAATGGGAATTTCAACATTTTGTGCCTGCTTTTTAACTGCTTTGTTTTGCATTGGTAGGCAGTCCCAGGGTATGCTGCTGTAAGAGGCAGTGAGAAAGCGGACACCCTGGCTGGCAGTGCAATTATCAGGAATGGGCCATCTGTGGACAGGAAAGAAATTGTCAGTGCCATACGAGAGACTAAACGCTGTGAGGATTTCAGTTTTGTGGAAAAATAATTTTTCACTGAATAGACTGCATACCATGGGTGTACCAGTTTGAGCTGCAAGACAGGAAACAATTCGGGAACCACCCTTTGTAACATCAGCTAGAAGATAAACTAGCTGAGGAAGGTGCAACGGAAGAACAACCCGACATACCAGTCTTTTATCAACAGAAGGAGAGAATGACCAAATCAATCAGAATGCCACCGAAACTGGCACAAGACGATTACCATATTATGGACAGACCAGAGCAGGTCATTATCCTTCGCCTTAGAACAGGGCGCAATCGACTTCGCTGCCACATGTACAACATATTTAAGATTGGCCAATCAGCCATGTATACCTGTGGACTGGCACCTGAGACAACAGATCACATCCTCCAAGACTGTCCCAGATTCAACGCTTCCAGGCAAAACTTTGGCCAAAAGAGACACTTGTAGAAGTCAAACTTTACGGGCCGCTTAGGGAATTACAAAAGACAGTAAAATTGATACTAGAGACAGCATTGCAGATATAGATAATTTATTTCATGCTAACGGAAGAAGAAGGAGGATTGATGGTAAACTGACAACCCTTTGCCATATACAACTTTAGCTGCAGAATCTGCCAACCATGAGCAGTTCAGAGGAAATATAAAAGAAGCATAAATTCTAAAAATATATGGGCATAGGCAGAGAATGCAGAAGATAAGAGACTGGTGTGAGTTTTTTTAAGTTGGACTGGCCAGATTATCAACTTGGCCAGTGGCAAGTGGGCCAACTGGCTTCCTTTTGTTTCCTGGCAACAAATATTTTTTAATCTAGACCGATAGGAGGCACCACTAGGCTGGTGGATAAAGAGCCGGAAATAAAGAATATAGATGAATATTAATTATTTACAGATGTAAAAGTAAGAAAATAAAAGGCAAACAAACGCTTCATGATCTAAGAAATGTGTTAAAATCAAAAGATAGTAAATCTAATTCTCATGTCAAATCAGTACTACTGTATTAATTATAATGAATGAATCAATCAAGAATTGATATCACTTCATCGAAACATTCCCACGAAGAGTTGACATGCTAATAGTACCAGTTGCCACCTGATTAAAAGTCCGCCTCTGTGTCTCCTTCAGTGTTGAATATCTTCTAGAACCTCTACTTACCTCCCTTGAATTAGTCTTTCATTGTATGGATTGCCTATCTGTTCTTTTGCACTATCCATTTGATCCTATAAAGCTTTCACCACGTCTGCTTTATTGTATAGAAGAAGCTCACTGCCCAAAAGAGCGGCAGCAGCAGCTAATCTATCAGCCTGCTCATTACCGTCTACACTTGAATATCCTGGACAGAAAACCCATGATATGCTCTTGTTCTGGGTCTTATCAAGTGATGTGAGCCACTCTGCTCGCAAGACACCAGTTTTAGTTTTCTGAAGCAAGCTCCATGAGTCTGTTACTATCACAACATGTCAAGCCATCGAAAGGCTGCCATTGCTGCCTTCACCTCCATTCTCATTCTTGATGAAGTTATGTTTTATGTGAGGCTGTCAAGCTTTTCAAGCAGTATCCATTCACCTTTGCAATAAAACCCCACCCACTCTTCTAACCTTTCACTAAAGATGATTACATTGATTAGAAAAAGAATGGATAATGACTGAAACATTTAATAATTAAACAAAAAATAGTCATTAATTGGTGCTTGTGTAGAATTATTAGGTAACATCAATAGGTCAGGGAAAGGCTGCCACTGATTAAGACGCACATTGAGAACACCTTTTAAAAGTATAACTAGAAAGATGTTTCTCTGAGACCCCTGGGACAGGAGAAAAACAACAACATGGATGAAGTTAGGGGGGCTGAGTGGTCTCGAGGCATGTCATCTGCCTTGAGTGCTAGAGGTCCCGGGTTCAAACCCTGGTGAAAGCTGGGATTTCTTCACATGAACTTCTAGAAATTTCCCCTGGTCTCTGGGTAGTAGGATCGGAAGCCCGTGTATACTGTGTGCACATAAAAAGTCCCTTGGCAGTCGGAAATCAAAAAGAGTAGCCTAACGACACTGCCTGGGCGAAATTTGGAGTTTAAAATATACTCAAAGAATCTTGGGATCCTCGCCGGTGCTATGAAGTTCGTGCACTGCGCTGAGATTCTTTGGACTCGGACTTGAGTTAGAAGTAGAACTAAGCACTTATGGGTGTCTACCCTTGTGCCATGATGTCAATCGGAGTGTAAACCTTAAACCTTAAAACCTTAAACTTGTGGAAACAAAATATTTCAAACTAAAAATTTAACTCTTAGAGATATTGAAAAAAATATTTAATGTTTAAGAGATATTGAACAAAATAGTTAATGTTCAAGAGTTAATCATTGTTTGAGAGATATTTTAACAAAACATTTAATGTTTAAGAGTTAATTATTTATTCTTTGAGAGATATTTTAACAAGTGTTTCATTCTTAAAGAGTTTATTTTTAATGGTTTCTAGAGATTTTTAAAAGAAAACTGTTCATCATTCCACAGTTGCAGCCGATTTTCTTTTACATCTATTCCATATTCTGTCTCAACGGTGTTTTGGTGTCTGCTCTATGTTTACTGACCTGGTTACTGAGTAAATCCTGGATGGCTGGCATCCTCTCTGCTGCTTTTTATATGTTCAACAGGTATGTTTGTGTGTTGTATGTCTCTGCAAAACAAGTGTGCAAATTATATGTGACCACAACAGTTGTATAAATAAATGTCCAAGGACAATTCTGCAAATATCTTGACCAGAGGAGTTCACAAATAAAGACCTGAGAAGGAAAACACACCTTAGACATGTTTCAAAGGAGGAAGATGAAGCTGGCTTGGACATGTTTGCAGAATGCCTTGTGATGCTTAGGTAAGAATAGCTCACCGATGGATGGCAGACTGAAAAAGGGAGACATGTATGAACTAAAGAAACTTGGAGAAGGCCAGTAAAAAAAGGAAATGAAAGAATATAAAATGATATGGAATGGAAAATCGGCAGACCAGCTGCTCTTATGAATGTCTGAAATGTCCGAACAGTGACATGAAGACAATATATATAGGTATAGATAGCAGTTCAAGATGTTCAGATAAAGATCGTGCAAGTGGCACATGCATGATATGGGGTATTGAGGTGGATTCATGGGGTAAAAATGGCCATGGACCGTGGAGAGTGGCACATCAGGAAGGGAATGAGAGTGAAGGAAGAAGTGATTGCAGAAAGGATGAAAGCTGAGTGTCTGAGAAGAAACACACTAAACACTAATGTTGACAGCAACGGTCTTGAAATTCCATGCTTTAATTGTGGAAGAATTATCTTAACACGGCCGGGTCCTGCTAGTCACACTTACCATCGCCAAGGGTTGTGAGTCCCATATCTTCTCTATCACGATAATATAACACTATCTTTTGGAAAGATGGAAAGGTGCCAGTCAGATAACAGTTGTATACTTGGTTTGGTTTGTCAATCAACCAGGTGCCATCTCCACAGTGAAGGCTGACTGCAGTGGATTTCCACCAGACACTGACTTTTGCCATGACTGTGCACTGTCTCAGACTTCTGTCCATATCTTGATGTTATCCTCTCACTTATATCACTGTCTGCCTTATGCTCACCTCCCTTCAACTTTTCCATCCAGTTTGGTTTGTAAAGGATTGATTTTTTTGCACTCAGATACACCCTAAAGTGTCTCAGTCTCTTCCTGTAGGTCACTGAAGAAAACTGTCTTTCTCATGCAGGGATCACTTTTTGTGTGAGCCTTCACTGAACATCCATCTAGCTCACTACTGACCTTACCTTCAATTCTTGACAATAACTGGCTCTTTTCTTCTTTTATTTTACCTCTTCAGTTTGGTTTTAAATATATTACATTGTGTTCTGTTTTCTTTTGTCTGTTGGCATGACCTTTTTTTTTTTACATACGGATATATATATATATATCTTGACCCTAAGGCAAACAAGAGTTAGTAACACTGTTACCACGCAAGCATGTCTTAAGACAACAACGGTGGCTTGGAGTGAGGCTGCTCATAGAAAACCTTAACTTTAGGGAACCTAAAAGATCTTAAGTTGACATCATAGTTTGTGGCCCATTTTGAGAAGACGAACACAGCTTGTGACTTGTGTGTCTGTTGCAGGCTGGATACCACCCGTGTAGACAGTTCTGTTCCTCTGAGGGAGAACTTTGCACTTCCTTTCCTGTGGATACAAGCAGCAGGCATTGCTATGTACTTCAAGCCTAGAGTCAGGGGCATCTTGGAGGTTAGAGGTCTTTCTGTGTGGTCTTGCTTGTGTGTGGTCATGCTTATGTGGGTTGTAGTTTGTGTGGGGTTCTTGTTTATGTTGTCTTGCTTGTGTGGGAGCTCTTGCTTGTGTGTGGTCATGCTTATGTGGGTTGTAGTTTGTGTGGGGTTCTTGTTTATGTTGTCTTGCTTGTGTGAAATCTTCATTCTGGGTGGTCATGTTTGTGTGTAGTCTTGTCAGTTTGTGGTCTTGCTTGTATGTATGTATGCATGTGTGTGTGTGTGTGTGATTGTTTATGTGTATGTGTATGTATGTGGATATATGAAAGTATATTTAGGTTTGCAAGTATGTGTGCGTATTTATGTATGTACATTGTAAGTATGTGTGATAGTATATGAGTGTATGTGTGATTGTGTGTGTGTGTGTGTGTATATAATGTATGCAAGTATGTATGTATGCAGGTATGCATGTGTGTATGTAATATCTGTATGGGTGATTGTATATGTGTGTATGCATGCATGTGTGTGTATGTATGTATTGTGTGTGTTCATGTATGTATGCATGTATGTATGCATGTATGTATGCATGTATGTATGCATGTATGTATGTATCTATGTGTGTATGTATGCATGTTGGTGGATGTATGTATGCATATTTAGCTGAGTAAGTATGTGGGTGTATGTGTGTGTGTTTAGGTATGTATGTATGTGTGTAAATATGTGAGTGTATGTATAAATGTGTGTATTATGCATGCATGTGTGTGTATGTATGTCTGTATGTATGCATGTATGTGGGTGTATGTATTCATGTGAGTGTAAATGTGTGGTTGTGGGCATATGTTGGTGTTTGTACATGTGATTGATTATGTGTGTATACATGGATGCATGTATAAGTGTGTATCTATGGAATGTGTGTGTGCATGTATATCCTTAAATGTATGTGTGTGTGTTTTCTGTTTATGCATTTATGTCTATGTATGTGTATGTTTTATGTTTGTGTATGTATGTAGATGGCTGTGTGTATGTATTACGTATGTCTGTATGAGTGTGCATGTATGAGAACTTTTGATTATGTATACGTGTGTGTGAGTGTGTAAGATTGTGTACACATGATGTGTGTATGCATTATTCTATCATTTATATTTCTTTGATAATTGTTTCTGCTTTCGCATCAGAGACTACAGAACAACCACAGAACAAAAACAAGACATGCAGTGGACTAAACACTTCTCCGACCTCTTGAACCCCCAGATATTCAACCAGCCTCTCAGGACATTGACATTATTACTGAACCACCAAACACACAAGAAATCCTTAAAGCTATCCACACTTTAAAGAACAACAAAGCACCAGGCAAAGACGAACTGCCAGCAGAACTTCTCAAAGTAGATCCCAACACAACTGCTAGCATTCAAAGATATTTGGGAAAAAGAAGTGTTGCCTGATGACTGGACTGAAGGAACAATAGTCCAAATTCCCAAAAAAGGAGACTTAACAGACTGCAATAATTGAAGGGGAATTACTCTACTCTCAGTACCAAGCAAAATATTTTGTAAAATCATGATAATGCGGCTTGAAAAAGGAGTAGATAAATGCCTACGAGTAGAACAAGCAGAATTCAGAAAGGGAGAAGGAACAACTGAACACATCTTCGCTATACGAAACATTTTAGAACAATGCAATGAATGGCAGAGAAGTATATATATAAATTTTGTGGACTTTGAGAAAGCTTTTGACAGCGAAAATAAAGACAGTTTATGGAAAATCTTACGACATTATGGAATTCCAGAAAAAATAGTCAACATAATTGCTCTCTTCTATAAAGACTTTTCCTACAGTAAAAAAAAAAAATTACAGTACATCTTTCCCAGTAAAGACAGGTGTAAGACAGGGATGTGTTATGTCATCTCTCCTCTTCAACCTTGTGATTGATTGGATACTAAAGAACACAGTAGACAGGGCATTGAGAGGCATACGATGGACTCCATTCACCATGCTTGAGGACCTTGATTTTGCAGATGATATAGCACTCCTATCACATAAACATGAACATGTACAAGAAAAAGTAACAAACTACACAGCACAGCAGAAATGGTGGGACTGAGAATAAATACAAAGAAAACTAAAATCATGACAAGCAGTCCAAACCAACAACCAGTGATCATAAATAACCAAACTCTTGAAAATGTAGAACATTTCACATATCTTGGCAGTGTGGTGTCCCTGCCGGGAGGGACCGAAGAGGACATACAGTCACGTCTGAACAAAGCTAGAGCTGCTTTTGGAAGGATGAGGCAAATCTGGAAATCCAACAATTACTGCAGAGGAACGAAACTCCGACTCTACAAGAGCATCATTTTGCCAGTTCTTCATTAAGGAGCGGAATGCTGGAGAATGACCAAAAAGGATGCACACAAGCTGTCCACCTTCCACCACACATGTCTACGTAGAATTATCAAAATTTTCTGGCCAGATACAATCTCAAATACTAAACTACTTCAAGTAACAAATCAAGAAACTTTAGACAGTATGATAACCAAGAGAAGATGGAAATGGCTTGGCCACGTTAGGAGAATGAATCCTGATATACCCGCCAAAACAGCTCTCAATGGACACCAGAGGGAAAGAGAAAACCGGGGCGCCCAAAAAACAACATGGAGACGAACGATGGAAAGTGACCTGAGTGCGGTGTCTTTGACATGGAAAACTGCACTGAAGATTGCGCAGGACAGGAAAGCATGGAAAGTCCTCTCTGAAGCCTCATGTGCCACTAGGCATAACGAGAACTGATATATTTCTTTATTATAACCATAACATGAATTATTGATAAAAGGCATTGGATCTCTGAAAAGAGAGTGCTTAGAAGGGCCGAATGTCAGACGGGCCTGTGTACCCAATTTGTAACCCTTTGAAAATAAAGTTTGTTCGTTCGTTTGTTTGTTCGTTCGTTCGTTGTCTTGTTTGAGTTTTGTCTTGTTTGAAGTCCACAGTGTGTCTTTCAGTGTTTCATAGACTCAACATCACCCATTTGTGAGTTCCTGGTGGTGACAAGTGTGACTAGCAAGACTTTTTAGACAATAAGTGTTCTATTGCTCTGTATGGAGGCATGGAACTCACAGCCTATGGTGATAAGTGTACTAGCAAGACTTTCCAGACAATAAGTGTTCAATTGCTCTGTATGGAGGCATGGAACTCGCAGCCTATGGTGATAAGTGTACCAGCAAGACTTTCCAGACAATAAGTGTTCTATTGCTCTGTATGGAGGCATGAAACTCACAGCCTATGGTGATAAGTGTACCAGCAAGACTTTCCAGACAATAAGTGTTCAATTGCTCTGTATGGAGGCATGGAACTCACAGCCTATGGTGATAAGTGTACTAGCAAGACTTTCCAGACAATAAGTGTTCTATTGCTCTGTATGGAGGCATGGAACTCACAGCCTATGGTGATGCTGAGTGTGGCTAGCAAGACATGCTCAGTGAGAAAAATCTTCCATTAGGAGGCAAAAGGTGCAGGAGATTTCATGACCGTTGTTGACATCACATGTATTTGGCTGTGGCATGTATCACATGCATTTTTTTTTTCTCGAGTGCTTAGCTCTAAGCCTGCCTACAAACCTTTTCTCTTTGTCCCATCCTAACTTTCCCTCCGACTGTAACGTGGCCTGTGACCATGATTCCACTTCAATATCTTTTATGTCCATCTTGTACTGTGATAAATTAACAATCAACTTATGATTTATTGAGTATAATCCTCAAACAGAAGCATTGAAATGTTTTCTTTTGCAGAGCTGCTGTCAGATGATAATATTCCTGAGTACACTGTTATTCTGCTGTTTCTGGCAATTCAGCCAGTTCATTATGCTGCTGCAAGGATTCTCATTGTTTGCTGTCTGGGTGCTGGGATTGGTCCCCACCGTCAAGGTTAGTTTTGCACTAGAGTTGTTTTTAATCCAGATGCTGGGATTGGTCCCTACAACCAAGGTTAGTTCTACACCAGAGTTGTTTCAATCTTTAACCCTTTCACCCCAAGACACTGATTTTCCTGAGTCCCACGCCCCTTAAAGCCTATATATTGGCTTTGCTGTGTTTGCCAGTCCTTGACATGCGGGGTCACTGTCTGCATCACCATACAGATTTTGTTCAGGCCCAGAACGAATGTATTCCATTTAATTCTTCACTTCATTTGTGTTTGTTATTGCTCCCCTTTGTATATTTGATAAAAAAACATTTTTTTTTTCAAAGTTTGTTAATGTATATAAATAAATAAGCAAACATTATTAGTGGCATGTGTGACAATTTGTTTTTCAGAATTTGTGTGTGTGGGTGGGATGAGGGTATTTCCGGGGAGTTCATGGCAATTCTCTCCCAGTGCTTTCTAGAGAAGACCTTCATTGCATCATGTTTCATCCTTTGCCCAGGAAGCCACATTAGCACAATGGATAGGAGGCTCGCTTTCAAATCCAGCTGCGTACTTGCTGCAGCCAGGGTCGGTGTTTGAAACCGGGCGGTTCCTGGGGTTCATACAGCCTCTAGGAAATGAGTACCAGAGTTGAAACTCTGGGGTAATTGGAGGAACGTCGCTGTAGCAACGGAGTTACGTGCGGACGGCGATACAGGCGGACAATTTCTTGTCAGCTGTCCATACTGGTGGCAGAGCACTTATGGTTTATAACCGTGTGCAATGACGCTGGTTCACATCTCCTGACTTTACTTTACCTATCCTTTGCCCATATTCTGTTAAACATATTTTTCTCTGAGTTTATCGTCGCATCATCTGCTACCCTAAGCATTTCTGCAGTAAAATCATACCCATTCGAGCCGATCAGCATGTACATGAGTTCATCTGTCTGTCTTATTTCTTTCTTCCAACACATGCGTACATTCATCTGTCTGTCTTATTTCTTTCTTCCAACACATGCGTACATTCATCTGTCTGTCTTATTTCTTTCTTCCAACATATGCGTACATTCATCTGTCTGTCTTATTTCTTTCTTCCAACATATGCGTACATTCATCTGTCTGTCTTATTTCTTTCTTCCAACATGTGTGTACATTCATCTGTCTTATTTCTTTCTTCCAACATATGCATACATTCATCTGTCTGTCTTATTTCTTTCTTCCAACATATGCATACATTCATCTGTCTGTCTTATTTCTTTCTTCCAACATATGCATACATTCATCTGTCTGTCTTATTTCTTTCTTCCAACAGATGCGTAAATTCATCTGTCTGTCTTATTTCTTTCTTCCAACATATGCATACATTCATCTGTCTGTATGTTTCTATCCTCCAACCTACCAGTAAATACAAACATTCATCTGTCTATTCACTTTCTATGTCTAACCTACTAACATATAGATGCATTTATCTATTTCTAATCTCTAATCTACCAACATATACATACATTCATCTGTCTGTTTCTAACTTCTGACCTACCAGCATATACTTACATTCATCTGTCTCTTCTATTTCTGTCTTCCAAACTACCGTCATGTACATACATTCATCTGTTTCTAATATCCTAATTTACTAGTATGTGTGTGCGCACACACACACAACACACTCTCACATTCATCTGTTCTGCCATCCAGATTACCAACACACACACGTGCGTGCATGCATGCACGCACACACCTGTTTCTAGTTTTCAGCATAACAACATATACGCACATTAATCTATTTATGATTTTCAGCCTGTAAACATATACATAAATTCAAAATTTTTTTACATCTAACTTACCAGTGCATACATAAATGCATCTGATTGTAACTTCGGGCCAGTATATGCAGACATCCCCTCTCTATCTCTTTATATTTCAGTTTTAAAAAAAAAACATGGACAGAAGACTAAATAAATCAGTCCGTGTGAGATATGATTTATGTTGCAGGTGAACTTTGTCATGGCAGTCTGTGTGAGATATGATTTATGTTGCAGGTGATCTTTGTCATGGCAGTCCGTGTGAGATATGATTTATGTTGCAGGTGAACTTTGTCAGGGCAGTCCGTGTGAGATATGATTTATGTTGCAGGTGAACTTTGTCAGGGCAGTCTGTGTGAGATATGATTTATGTTGCAGGTGAACTTTGTCATGGCAGTCCGTGTGAGATATGATTTATGTTGCAGGTGATCTTTGTCATGGCAGTCCGTGTGAGATATGATTTATGTTGCAGGTGAACTTTGTCATGGCAGTCCGTGTGAGATATGATTTATGTTGCAGGTGATCTTTGTCATGGCAGTCCGTGTGAGATATGATTTATGTTGCAGGTGATCTTTGTCATGGCAGTCCGTGTGAGTTATGATTTATGTTGCAGGTGAACTTTGTCATGGCAGTCCGTTGTGAGATATGATTTATGTTGCAGGTGATCTTTGTCATGGCAGTCCGTGTGAGATATGATTTATGTTGCAGGTGATCTTTGTCATGGCAGTCCGTGTGAGATATGATTTATGTTGCAGGTGAACTTTGTCATGGCAGTCCGTGTGAGATATGATTTATGTTGCAGGTGATCTTTGTCATGGCAGTCCGTGTGAGATATGATTTATGTTGCAGGTGATCTTTGTCATGGCAGTCCGTGTGAGATATGATTTATGTTGCAGGTGATCTTTGTCATGGCAGTCCGTGTGAGATATGATTTATGTTGCAGGTGATCTTTGTCATGGTGTGTCAGCTGACAGCTCTGACGTGCGTGTGTACATTACAGTTTTTGAACCCTATGATCCTCACATCGCTTGCTGTATCATTCATCTTTTCATCTCTGTGTTGGATTTCATTTTTGGTAAGTTGCTGTTGTATCATTCATCTTGTCATTTCTGTGTTGGATTTCATTTTTGGTATCATTCATCTTTTCATCTCTGTTGGATTTCATTTTTGGTAAGTTACTGTTGTATCATTCATCTTGTCATTTCTGTGTAGGATTTCATTTTGTGTTAGTGGCTGTTTGTATCATTCATCTTTTCATCTTTGTGTTGAATTTCATTTTGGTAAGTTGCTGTTTTATCATTCATCTTGTCATTTCTGTGTTGGATTTCATTTTGTGTTAGTGGCTGTTTGTATCATTCATCTTTTCATCTTTGTGTTGAATTTCATTTTGGTAAGTTGCTGTTTTATCATTCATCTTGTCATTTCTGTGTTGGATTTCATTTTTGGTAAGTTGCTGTTGTATCATTCATCTTGTCATTTCTGTGTTGGATTTCATTTTTGGTAAGTTGCTGTTGTATCATTCATCTTGTCATTTCTGTGTTGGATTTCATTTTTGGTAAGTTGCTGTTTGTATCATTCATCTTGTCATTTCTGTGTTGGATTTAATTTTTGGTAAGTTGCTGTTGTATCATTCATCTTGTCATCTCTGTGTTGGATTTCTTTTTTTGGTAAGTTGCTGTTTGTATCATTCATCTTGTCATTTCTGTGTTGGATTTCATTTTTGGTAAGTTGCTTTTTTTTATCCATGTTCTCATTTGTATGCTGATTCCATTTTTGTAAGTTACTGTTTGTGTCATTCATCTTTTCATCTCTGTGTTGGATTTCATTTTTGTTAAGTTGCTGTTTGTATCATTCTCATCTCTGTGTTGTATTTCTCTTGTGCTAAGTTGCTGTCTCTGTGCTTGATTGGACAGGCATTTGCAGTGCCAGAAGTAACATTCATCTTCTTCTGACCTCTATTCTCCATTGGAGCATAGCCCATCAAAACACCCATGCCAGGTCATATTTTTAGTGAAGCTAAATTATTATCTTTGCAAAGTCAGCAATAATAAATATTCTGGTCTGCACCCTGCAGTAATGTTGCCTCCTTTTCTATGATAGGGTTTCAGCTTTAGTTAACAGTTAAGGTGATGTAGGACGTGAAGACCCAAGTTCGAATCCTTGGTAAGGTTATGAAGGTTTTTCTGTCTGGGGCAAAACTAAAATTGTAACCTGCTCAATCTCTGGCGACAGCACTAGCCGTGCAGCCCTAAATCCTCAGGCTCAAAGACGCCCCTACTACACAGCAAAAGTAGTAAATACGGGCAGTAGTGGTAGTAACACAAGGAGGTCATCCGTCGAATGATTTGAGGTCACATTTCTGGAGCAGTTGCCACAAACTGCAGGTAAGGATTTTAATTTTTGCCCCCTGACAGAAAACAAAAATCTTAGAATGAGATATATATGGCTAGAGAAAGAGAGATCTGCAGGCATACCGTGAAGAGAGCGACGTTCTCTAAAGAACATGCTGATTGTCTGATTAATTGTATGTATTGTGGGTCTCTAGTGAGTCTTACACATTTAGTATTAGATTCAGCTTCTCGCATGCACCTCTTGGTTCATCCCTTGTCTGGTATTTTCCTACACAAAGTTGGTGTCTCTATTTTCTTTTAATTTGCCTTAAAATTGTTGTTTCCCTTATGGTTTTGATTTGTGATCTATTGTGTAACATATCCTGCATCAAAACCTTTGTGTTTATTTTCTTCTGTGTCAATGATATTCTTAACATGCTTTAAAAAAACATTTCTGTTCTAAAGGATAGTCCAGGGAGCTGCAAGGTATACCCAGCCTAAAATGTGTACAGGGTAATGTCATGGGAGGTAAAGGTGACTGTCATGATGTTGACCACATTGAGTGCCAATTGGTCTTTAAAAATATGCCTAGCATCTTATGCCCAATTCATCGGTCATGAAAGAGGACCTTTGCTGCTTCTGTTGTTGTTAAATTTGTATGTTGTTTTCTCTGCAGCGTGAAGTTGGTAGGCAACAGACGATACTACGGGACATAATTGTAGTTATTGGTGTGTCGGCGGTTCCACTGATCCTAATGTTTGTGCTAAGTACCATTATGAAAGTAAGTGGTGCTCTTAATGGTTACTGTGAATGTGTTGGCTAGACCTATGTTCTTCAGCCGGTGGTCTGTAGACACGTCATGGTGGTCTGTAGACACGTCATGCAGACATGTCCTGGTGGTCTGTAGACATGACCTGGTGGTCTGTAGACATGACCTGGTGGTCTGTAGACATGTCCTGGTGGTCTGTAGACATGTCCTGGTGGTCTGTAGACATGTTCTGGTGGTTTGTAGACATGTCCTGGTGGACTTTAGACATGTCCTGGTGGTCTGTAGACACGTCCTGGTGGTTTGCAGACATGTCCTGGTGGTCTGTAGACACGTCCTGGTGGTCTGTAGACACGTCCTGGTGGTCTATAGACACGTCCTGGTGGTCTGTAGACATGTCCTGGTGGTCTGCAGACATGTCCTGATGGTCTATAGACATGTCCTGGTGGTCTGTAGACATGACCTGGTGGTCTGTAGACATGACCTGGTGGTCTGTAGACATGACCTGGTAGTCTGTAGACATGTCCTGGTGGTCTATAGACATGTCCTGGTGGTCTGTAGACACAGCTGGTGGTCTGCAGACATGTCCCGATAGTCTATAGACATGTCCTGGTGGTTTGTAGATATGTCCTGGTGGTCTGTAGACATGTCCTGGTGGTTTGTAGACATGTCCTGATGGTCTATAGACATGTCCTGGTGGTCTGTAGACATGTCCTGGTGGTCTGTAGACACGTCCTGATGGTCTAAAGACATGTCCTGGTGGTCTGTAGACATGTCCTGATGGTCTGTAGACATGACCTGGTAATCTGTGGAATTGTTCTGTGGTGTTCTGTAGACATGTCCTGGTCATCTGTGGAATTGTCCTGTGGTGGTCTGTATACATGTCCTCGTGGTCTGTTGACATGTCCTGGTCACCTGTGGAATTGTCCTGTGGTGGTCTGTAGACATGACCTAGTGGTCTGATGACACGTCCTGGTGGTCTGTAGATATGACCTGGTGGTCTGTAGACACGTCATGGTGGTCTGTAGACACGTCATGGTGGTCTGTAGACACGTCATGGTGGTCTGTAGACACGTCATGGTGGTCTGTAGACACAACATGGTGGTCTGTAGACACGTCATGGTGGTCTGTAGACACGTCCTGGTGGTATGTAGACACGTCCTGGTGGCCTGTAGACACGTCCTGGTGGTTTGCAGACATGTCCTGGTGGTCTGTAGACACGTCCTGGTGGTCTGCAGACATGTCCTGGTGGTCTATAGACATGTCCTGGTGGTCTGTAGACATGTCCTTGTGGTCTGCAGACACATCCTGATGGTCTATAGACATGTCCTGGTGGTTTGCAGACATGTCCTGGTGGTCTGTAGACATGACCTGGTGGTCTGTAGACATGACCTGGTGGTCTGTAGACATGTCCTGGTTGTCTGTAGACATGTCCTGGTGGTCTGTAGACATGTTCTGGTGGTTTGTAGACATGTCCTGGTGGACTTTAGACATGTCCTGGTGGTCTGTAGACACGTCCTGGTGGTTTGCAGACATGTCCTGGTGGTCTGTAGACACGTCCTGGTGGTCTGTAGACACGTCCTGGTGGTCTGTAGACACGTCCTGGTGGTCTGTAGACATGTCCTGGTGGTCTGCAGACATGTCCTGATGGTCTATAGACATGTCCTGGTGGTCTGTAGACATGACCTGGTGGTCTGTAGACATGACCTGGTAGTCTGTAGACATGTCCTGGTGGTCTATAGACATGTCCTGGTGGTCTGTAGACACAGCTGGTGGTCTGCAGACATGTCCCGATAGTCTATAGACATGTCCTGGTGGTTTTGTAGATATGTCCTGGTGGTCTGTAGACATGTCCTGGTGGTTTGTAGACATGTCCTGATGGTCTATAGACATGTCCTGGTGGTCTGTAGACATGTCCTGGTGGTCTGTAGACACGTCCTGATGGTCTAAAGACATGTCCTGGTGGTCTGTAGACATGTCCTGATGGTCTGTAGACATGACCTGGTAATCTGTGGAATTGTTCTGTGGTGTTCTGTAGACATGTCCTGGTCATCTGTGGAATTGTCCTGTGGTGGTCTGTATACATGTCCTCGTGGTCTGTTGACATGTCCTGGTCACCTGTGGAATTGTCCTGTGGTGGTCTGTAGACATGACCTGGTGGTCTGATGACACGTCCTGGTGGTCTGTAGATATGACCTGGTGGTCTGTAGACATGTCCTGGTGGTCTGTAGACACGTCCTGGTGGTCTGTAGACATGACCTGGTGGTCTGTTGACACGTCCTGGTGGTCTGTAGATATGTCCTGGTGGTCTGTAGACACGTCCTGGTGGTCTGTAGACATGACCTGGTGGTCTGTTGACACGTCCTGGTGGTCTGTAGACATGTCCTGGTGGTCTGTAGACATGTCATGGTGGTCTGTTGACATGTCCTGGTGGTCTGTAGACACATCCTGGTGGTCTGTTGACATGTCCTGGTCATCTGTGGAATTGTCCTGTGGTGGTCTCTAGACATGACCTGGTGGTCTGTTGACACGTCCTGGTGGTCTGTAGATATGACCTGGTGGTCTGTAGACATGTCCTGGTGGTCTGTAGACATGTCCTGGTGGTCTGAAGACATGACCTGATGCTCGCCGAAATGTCCATATGGTCTGCAGACATATTGTACTAGTGTGCCTAATCATATGATGGCTAAATGATTCCAGCACTAAATTGCTCCAAAGTGAATGCAACTGGAATTTTGTGACATTAGATTTAACAAAGAAGCTGCCCGTTATGTTTTTGCTAACTGTCACTTGGGCTGTGCAAGTGTGTCCCAGCTGTGCCGCATACATTTGTCACTTTGAAACAATATCGTTTTTACGTCATGCTCTGTCCTAGTAATGCCTAATACTATTATGTATTTTGTTGTATGAACATAATATATGTTGCTAATAAAAAATACAACAGGAGTGTGAAAGATGAGTGTTTAAAAGAGCCGAATGTAAGACGGGCAGACCTGCATGCACAGTTTGTGAACCTTTTAAAAACAGAGTTTGTTCATTCTTCCCCTGTTTTGAAGGTTCGCAGGTATAAAAAGTTAAAAAAAACTGTTCTAGACAAACTGTTGGATATGTTCTGCAGCACTGCCCACTATTGGGCCAGCTAAGAAACGTAAACTAGCTTACTGGATCTAAAATATCAGTGCGTAGGTTACTAAAGTTGGTCTCCACAACGTGACATACTGGCTAAAAGCCGCACCACTGTAGTTGCTCTTTTGCTTAGAGAACCCGCAAAACTGACACGCTTCTGTTTAGACCCATTTCCCCATAAATGTCACTTTTCTGACTAGTCTATGGCGACCAGTTTATGGGCCCATAGCAAATGCTGTTGGCCAGGTTTGCACCGGTGCAAGAGGTCAGGATATGAGAACATTTACTAAAAATAGCATGAAGGAGGAGGGTAATTTTTTTCTTCTTGAAAGTCTTTTGTAAATAGCGTGAAGAGGTGACAACATATGAACTGATACACACAGTTGCTGATCAAAAATTGTGGAGAGGCATGATCATCCTTGCCAGTAAGGCAAGGCACTTAATGATAATGGCAGGTGTCATAAAGAGAGAAGGCCTTTTGATTGATGCCACAAGCATCATCAACGTGAGGGGGGTGGGGGTGGAGAGGTAAACTCAAGTTTTGTAATAAGACTCAAGTCCACAAGTGGATGAACAACTAAAACTTTCCATCGAAGTCGCAGCTGGTGAACGCAGAGAAGAAGAAGACAATTAGTGCATCTGCCTGACTGGCAAGGAACCAGTAATCTGCATACAAATAAGCAGATTATGTCAAATAGATGTGTCCTTGAAACAAGATCAGAGTTCAGAAGTAAACGAACAGCCAGCACTTTCCACTGCAGTTTACAGCCACTAAACGCAAAGAAAAAGAAAAAAAAAAGAAGACAAAGAAGAAGAGGATCGCCATGAGGACTGTTCCTGGTTGCTGAGGAATTTGACAAAGCATGTCCCAAGTGCAGGGATGTTAATTCTTTATTGATGGATTAATCCATTCTTCTAACTTTGCAAACGTGATTGGAAAAGAGAAGAAGGAGACACAGAGATAAATATTTTGATGGCTTGGACACATGGAAAAACTGAGACAAGAACACAGAGCTGATCTGAGATTTTTGGGATCACATGTGATAGCAAACTATGACTGTCTCCTGTTTTCAGCTTTACACATAATGATGGTGACTGCACATGTTTCAAAACCCCGTAACCCACCAGAGAACACTTTATGCGTACAGACAAACAGCTGGCTGAAGTATGTCAGGATTAAGGAGTCACAGATTTAATTTCATGGTAGAAGAATTCTCAACATTTATGAAGAAGTATTCCAGAGATGCAGAGTGTCAGAGTTATTCTGTTTCATGCGTGAAGTATCCAGAGATACAGTGTGTCAGAGTTATTCTGTTTCATGCGTGAAGTATCCAGAGATACAGTTTGTCACTGTTACTTTGTTTCAGCTCATAGTAAAGGATGACTCTGGTGACCATATCGTCAGTTTTATCGAAAATAAAGTTGGCTTAGGCAATGTCAGGTAAGACTAAAACAAAAATTTTTTTTTAAAATCTCAAGTCATGGTATAGGGCGTCGCAGGTCGAACCAGCCTTAAATGGGTACCATGATATATGTCTTGGGGAAGTAACGACGGCCGGCATAATGCTGACCACATTACGCACCTAGTGCAGATTGGTTTGTAAAAAATGGGTGCTCTTACCATATGCCCGATGCACCCTGTTTTAATGTTCTTGTTCTCTAGCTAATGGGACTTTTGTGTGGTCTGTATAATCCCTGTTTTAATGTTCTTCTCCAGCTAATGAGACTGTTGTGTGGTCTGTATAATCTCTGTTTTAATGTTCTTGTTTCAGTTGGTTCACTCAAACGTCTTAACTCTCTTAGATCATTCAGTATGTCAGCCTGGTCCATGGCTTGTCCTGCTTTCACAGTAGCCTTACCTGCAAGTCTATCAGTTGCTCATTTCCTTGTACCCCCACATGTCCTGGCACGAAAATGAAACTAATCCTTGTCAGCCATGAATTCTATAGAGTCACCAGCCACTTCCTTCGGACCCAGCTCTTCTCTATCTTCCTGAGCATACTCATCGAGTCACTGAGAAAGCATGCCCCAGTGAAAGTCTGTGTCTCTAGTCTGTGTCTCTAGCCATGTTACTGCTTTAGTCACAACTATGTTACTGCTTTCGTCACAGCCATGACCTACATAGTCAGACTACTTGTAGTTACGGCAAAAGCTCCAGAATCTTCCTTTACAACTCTCCCTCCAACCTGAGCCATGAAAGCCCATGAGCTTCTAATATGGCGGATTACAGAACCATCTGTGTAAATGACAGCATCACCCTCTAGTGTTCTCGAAAATCAAGGCTTGAACTTCTGCTTCCACAGCAGCCGGACTCTGTTATCTGCATTTTCTGTCTGGTTGACAAAGTACAGCACTCTGAAGGCACTTGCACCCTCTGCCCCCCGGATTTTATGTCCTGTGTAATCCCTGTTTTAATGTTCTTGTTCTCTAGCTAATGGGACTGTTGTGTGGTCTGTATAATCCCTGTTTTAATGTTCTTGTTCTCCAGCTAATAGGACTGTTGTGTGGTCTGTGTAATCCCTGTTTTAATGTTCTTGTTCTCAGAAGCAAGTAAAACCCAGCCAACCAAGATGAGGGGAGGCTCTTCAAGAAGAACAAGTATGACACGGTGTGGAGAAAGTTGTAAGGAGTCCGGATCGTTGACGTATCTCCTCTCAGCTAGGAAACCTCTAGAATTGGCACCTGGAATGTTAGAACTCTCTATGATATAGGGAGAACAATGGAAGTGGATAGGACACACACTGAGAAAACAGAACAGCGTAACTAGAATGTGTTTGCATTGGAACCCTCAGGGGCATAGGAATAAAGGAAGGGCAAAAACACATTCAGGAGCTGGAAAATGAAGTTAGAAAGATGGGGAGGACATGGGGAGAGCTCCAAGTAATGGCGAAGGATAGAACGACTTGGCGTGGGTTGGTTGATGGCCTATGCTTCATTGGGGGATAGAAAGGCAGAAGACGAAGAAAAGATGCCGACAGTTAAAGTTGTTGTTATTTACTATTAAAACATTTATACTCATGTATGCTGACGGTTAAAATTGTTATTTGCTACAAACACATTTATACCCGTGTATGCTGACAGTTAAAGTTGTTATTTGCTCCTAAAACATTATACTTGTGTATGCTGACTGTTGAAGTTGTTGTTATTTACTATTAAAACATTTATCCCGTGCATGCTAACAGTTAAAGTTGTTGTTATTTGCTACTAAAACATTTATACCTGTGTCTGCTAACAGTTAAAGTTGTTGTTATTTGCTACTAAAATATTTAAACCCTTGTCTGCTGACGGTTAAAGTAGTTGTTATTTGCTACTAAAACATTTATACCCGTGTCTGCTAACAGTTAAAGTTGTTGTTATTTGCTACTAAAACATGTATCCTGTGTATGCTGACAGTTAAAGTTGTTATTTGCTACTAAAACATTTATACCCATGTATGCTAACAGTTAAAGTTGCTACTAAAACATGTATCCCGTGTATGCTGAAAGTTAAAGTTGTTGTTTTTTGCTACTAAAACATTTATACCCGTGTATGCTGACGGTTAAAGTTGTTGTTTTTTGCTACTAAAACATTTGTACCCGTGTATGCTGACAGCTAAAGTTGTTATTTGCTACTAAAACATTTATACCTGTGTATGCTGACAGCTAAAGTTGTTATTTGCTACTAAAACATTT